CTACGCAGTCACATGGATCTCTTCACGATTCTTGGAATTAGGACAGTACCAAACGAGTGTTTCAAGTGACCCTCAAAGATCCAGACTTGAAACTGAAATGATTGTCAAAAGTCTCCAGTCGTCTCTACAGGATTAGTTGGTTCCGTTACTGACACCCCACTGTAGTTTTCCGTGTGACACCTTGTCACAGAAATACGACAGGATAATCTTTTGGAGCTGGTTTCATTTAATGCTACCACTAGCGCAGCAACTTACACACCTCTAGTAAATCTTTTAAATCCGCATTTTGATGATACTAGATGGCCTTGCATAGCTCAATGTCATTGATGTTATCTACCAATGTTAGGAGACGAATAGAGCGTTTCTAGTCCATTACAAGACTGAAATGGACAACACGTAGTCTCTAGCTTCAGGACTTAAGAATGTGAACATCTGAAGTACTAATCAGTTGGCTCACGTTCATCAGAAATACGAGTCTGTTTGGAAAGAGCAGCCGAACACAGGGAGATGACAGCCATTTCCTGATTGCGTTCCTGCCTGTGATAATCACGCCCTCGAATCGAGTTAACTTGTTTAAAGCATGTAAAAACTGAATGAAGAATGTGGAGCTTGCTAAATGTGGTCCATCATATGGGAACAGTGAAAGCCAACCCAATTCTTTGAACGCTGTGAAAAGACCTCATTTTCCTTATATTCTCTTTGTTATAATGTTTACAAGGAGTGTGAGTCAAAAATTTTTCCGAAGTGTCGATTTTAACAGATTGTAGCAACTGTTCCCCATTACCAGTCTCCTATCCAAAGGACTGCCTCGCATTATTTATTTCTTCTCTTTTCATGGTGAAAAAATCCAAAATGGTTCCAGGCTTTGTCTCTCACTTTGACGAATTTGATAATTCGGCCTCTCTGGATGATACGTGCAAAAAGGAAGAATAGTGGATTGAGTATGTGAAATATTTTGCGCGGTTCAGTTCAGCTGACCCCATAGACAATGTAGAACAACGCAAAGTGATCCTTTTGGTCAAATTCAATGGCAAAGACGTCTAGCTGACCGAATTTCTGTTTGTGCGATCATTTAAACCAAACTCTAACATATATATGTTCTCAGAGGCTACTTATATACACTTTTTATTCCGGAACCATATGTGCAGAAGTACCTGGTGAAACCAAATTTGTGAACTAAGAAAAGTTGGTCCTTTAGTTTGTGTGGCAAATAATTATATTCCTGGTTCGATCTAAAAAATTTGCATAAATAAATGGGAATCCAGCTTTTTATGCCAAATTAAGTTGGAAACGTGGTTAGCATTTGTAGGGTAGGGTATGGTTTCCATTAAGGAAAAACAGGATTTTGAAAGCTCAGTTCCGCTCCTATGAAATTGTCTTGTGAGTGACAAGTCGAGAACCATGAATTAAGTGACAGTTACTGCTTCATGTACCTTAAGTTGGAATAAGCGCTGGTTGTCAACAGGAGATCTCCTCGCCAGAGGGCGAAATTCGAACTCCAAATTGGCCCAGTGAGTACCCAGCAAGACAGAGTTGTCAGTGGAAAATCACAGCAACCCCCGGGCATCGTATCAAAGTCGTAAGTGCCTGCGAATAGAGTGCTGTCATTCAATTTGCATGAATGGGTCATGCGACACGTCTACTGTAATGATATAAGTAACAACACTTTTTAACTTCATACAGGTGTTTGATGCATTCGAGGTAGAGTCACATCAGCAATGTATGTACGATCGCGTTATCGCCTACGATGGATTGACAACTGACGCTCCACAGCTTGGACGCTATTGTGGTAGTCGTAAACCTGCACCAATAATTTCGACTGGAACAACCCTCCTCCTCACTTTTAATGCCGATGGATCGGTTCAGAGAAAGGGTTTCAGAGCACAGCATTCAACCGGTCAGCTCACATTATTATGCCCCAAATTGATTCGATAACATTATTAAAATTTAGGTCCTTCTAATTTCCAGTGTGCGGTGGTGAACTTAAGGCGGATGTGACCCCTCAAAATCTCTTTTCGCATGCTAAATTTGGTGATCTGGATTACCCTGTGAATCAGCAGTGCTATTGGACCATACATACAAATCTCAAAAACTACACCATCCTCATTCGTTTCCTATTTTTTGAAGTGGAGGAAGAAACACTGTGCACGTGAGTTTGTCACCAATTTAAGATCATTCGTGAAGGCCATCTGGTAGGTTTTTCATCAAGTTGACAGAGAGAATGTTATGAAAACGGGTGAGTTTCGTTCCTTGTTTATCTGCCGATTGTTATCGGCGTCCAACTTCGCATTCTAAAGCGCATAAGGTGGTAATTACGACCCTCCATGCAAAGTTCAAAGCAGGAGGCACTAAGAGCTTGAAATCGTCTCTCCTGTTATATGGGCTTCGTACGAAGTGTTAAACCAAAAAGTTGATGATCGTAAATTTCAGTAGTTCCGGATGGCACATGATAGTGCAAACATTGTGTTGAATGCAACAATGGCTCACTTCACGAACAACTTCATGTGGCGCAGTTTGCCAAGATTTCGTGAGGGAATGAAACTTTTCCTGTCATGAATGTATACAAAGATGCGAAATACTTTTTTAATAATGAGGTCACAGTAGAAGGTAATCACTATGTT